TGCAATCATGTTTTCAACAAACATACCAAAATATTTGTGGGGAGAAGCAGTGTTACATGCAACTTATTTAATTAATCGCATGCCATCCAAAACTTTAGGATTTAAAAGTCCTATTAGTTCACTACAACACTTCTTTCCTACAAATAGATTGGTAAACACCCTTCCTTTAAAAAAATTTGGTTGCACAGTGTTTATCAAAAATCCAGATAGATCTGCAAGTATGTTTGATCCTAGAGGAAAAAAATGTGTTTTTCTAGGTGTTTCTGCCACTCAAAAAGGGTATAAATGTTTTGATCCTACAACCAAAACAATAGTTGTTACTATGGATATTTTTTTTATGGAAGAACAACCTTTTTTTGATTCTCATCTTCAGGGGGAGAAATTAAGTGAAGATGTTCCAATAAGGCTAAAGGGTCAAATAGGTACATGAACTAATTTAAAGTGTTCAATTAGCCCCTTATATAGGAGGTTCTGCTCGGCCGTCGCCAATTGGGGTGGTTCCTTGTGGAATTTTTTTATGAAATTTTTTGAGCATCTTCTTCATTAAGTCTAGTTTACCCATACCAAATTTCAGCTAAAAATTCAACCGGGAAGACAGTCAAATCATTTTTTGAAGATAACTGCGCAGTTAAACAGCGCAGTACATTTCGGAAAATCATTTGACTGCCTTCCCCATTTAATTTTTAGCTGAAATTTTATATGGGTAAACTAGACTTAATGAAGAAGATGCTCAAAAAAATTCATCAAAAGCTTCCATCGGGAACCGTCCCAATTGGCGACGGCTGGACAAAACCTCCTAAATAAGGAGCTAATTGAACACTTTAAGTTAGTTCATGTACCTATTTGACCCTTTAGCCGTTCCAATAATGCCACATATTCATGAAAATCTTAATTTTCTTGATATTAATCTGGATGATAATTTCTTTAGAAATATCAGTACACCTGAAAATGATCAAGGAATAAAAAATAATGAAGTAAATCCAACTGAACCAATTGAAAAGGATCAACAGACAAGTCAGTTCTTTGAAAAAACTTATGAGAGAAGGGTTAGAAATCAAAGAATAGAGGAAGTCCAAGAACCTACAACTGTCCATGATTCTGCCTCAATGTCAGGAAGTGAAAAAGGTAATACTTCTAGCAACTTTGACCTTCCTATTGCTCTCAGAAAAGAGAGAAGAACATGTGTTAAATACCCCATCTCAAACTATGTTTCTTATTCTAAATTGACATCAGACTTTGCAGCCTTTACCTCCAATATCTCTTCTATTTCTATTCCTCCAACCATACAGGATGCTCTATCTAAACCTGAGTGGAAGAAAGCTGTTTTGGAGGAGATGGAGGCTCTTGAAAAGAATCAGACATGGAAGCTTGTAGAGTTACCTAAAAATAAACCTACAGTTGGTTGCAGGTGGATTTTCACCCCAAGTTTAAGGCAGATGGAAGTTTGGAGAGGTATAAGGCAAGACTAGTTGCCAAGGGGTACACACAGACCTATGGAATTGATTACAAAGAAACTTTTGCACCAGTTGCAAAGTTGAACACTGTAAGAATTCTTTTATCTCTTGCTGCCAATTTAGACTGGCCATTACAACAACTGGATGTAAAGAATGCTTTTTTAAATGGGAAACTTGAAGAAGAAGTGTACATGGAACCTCCTCCTGGGTTTGAAAATAAGTTTGGGTTAAAAGTTTGCAGATTAGAGAAGGCTTTATATGGACTTAAACAGTCTCCAAGAGCCTGGTTTGACAGATTCACAAAGTTCATAAAGAAGCAAGGATTTAATCAAGCTCAAGCTGACCATACTTTATTCATGAAGTTTTCAGGTAAGGGACAGATTGCAATCTTAATTGTCTATGTAGATGATATTATCCTCACAGGAAATTATCACACAGAGACTAAAAGATTGAAAGACAAACTTGCTCATGAATTTGAGATTAAAGACCTAGAAAATTTAAAAAAATTCCTAGGAATGGAGATAGCTAGATCAAAGAAGGGTATTGTTGTCTCACAAAGGAAATATGTTTTAGATCTTCTACAGGAAACTGGAATGAGTGCCTGCAAACCAGCAGACACTCCAATTGACCCAAGTCAGAAATTGGGAGATATCAACGAGGGAAATCCAGTTGATATTCACCAATATCAAAGATTGGTAGGAAAATTAATATATCCGGCACACACAAGACCAAATATTGCATTTGCAGTAAGCATGGTAAGTCAGTTTATGCATCATCCTCTCCAAGAACATCTTGATGCTACTTACAGGATTCTGAGATACCTGAAGAGCTGTCCAGGGAAAGGATTGTTTTTCAAAAAGGGAAACAATAGGACAATTGAAGTTTTTACTGATGCAGATTATGCTGACTCAATATCTGATAGGAGATCTACTTCTGGATAGTGCACCTATGTATGGGGAAATCTAGTAACCTGGAGAAGTAAGAAACAAAATGTGGTTGCTAGAAGTAGTGCAGAATCAGAATTCAAAGCTATGGTTAATGGAATATGTGAGTTACTCTGGATCAAACGAGTAATCACAGAACTAAAGATGGAGATTGAGCTGCCTATGAAGTTATATTGTGATAATAAAGCTGCTATAAGCATTGCTCATAACCCTGTGCTACATGATAGAACTAAGCATATTGAAGTGGACAGACATTTCATTAAGGAGAAGATTGAAGCTGGAATCATTTGCACACCATTTGTATCCACTAAAGATCAAACAGCTGATATCTTCACTAAAGGGTTATTTAGACCTATATTTGAGCTACTTATAAGCAAGTTGGGAATGTATGATATATATTCACCAACTTGAGGGGGAGTGTAGAAAAATGTTACACTATGAGAAAAATGTTACATTATTTTTCCTGATTAGATTGATGTACATAAGTGGGTCGGATAGACTTAGTTAGTTGTAGATAAGCTCATAGTTATCTAGATCCTAATTTTTAGGATCTGTACCAGCTTGTAGTTATCTATACAAACTGTATTTATACTCTGGCCGAATGGCTCATTCAACCAAGGAAGTTTTATTCCTAAAACTTACAGGATGGAATGGGGTAGAATGTAAAATTAGAATGGTAAAAATGTAAAATATTTATAGTGTGTCAAATTTGTACCACAAAAGTGTGACAATAGCATTTTTCAGGATATTATTGGCATTCAGAGGCTGAAGAAATTTCTCCACTCCCAATTCCATACTAAAAACCTTGGTTCCTTCAAATACTTTTTGGGATGTTAGAGTGCAAATCGATTGACAACCCTATGTCCCTATGGATCCAAATTCTAATCTTGATGTGGAAACTGGGGATTTCCTTGATGATCATGGCCATTATAGAAGATTAGTTGGAAAGTTAATCTATTTTGTGTTACTCGTCCAAATGTTTCTTTTGCCACTAGTGTTGTGAGTCGATATTTTAGATAACACATCTAGAAGCAGTTGTGCTTATTCTGTCATATCTTGAGAAAGTCATTGACGTTAGGGCTGGATTCGGTTCAGTTCCCGAACCGAAAATGAAAAAAACACCAAATCGACCCGCATTTTTCGGTTTGACAAAAAATGTAACCGAAACCGAACCAATTATGTTCGGGACCCAATGAGTCGGAATTCAAAATTTCAGTTTGGTTTTTCGGTTTTGTGAAAGACCGAATGAATTTTGAATTAAATCTTATACTAACAAAATATTTGACTATATCAGTAGCTACTAAGAGCCCTTGAGCATCATTAACCACCTGCTTGACCTCAACTTCAAAGGGGCGAATATATAGGAAGGTATGAGGAGTAAAGTCTCAATCGTAACAGGTGTGGGAAATAATTTGTTGCTGAAGAAAAAGTAAAGCAAGGAGTCTGCACTAAAGAAAAACATAAAAATTTAAAGAAATACGAAGGAGTGGGGAATCGATCCTGAGTGGGAAGGAGCCAATGCATGTTGTGCTGCCACTGAGCTGCTTTCAATAGTTGGGTATATAGGGGACGCAAAATATACTTATTACATTAACAACTACAAATAAAATAAAATAAAATAAAATAATTAAATACTACCTCTGTCCCTTAAAACTTTGTCAAGTTGGACCAGCACGGGGATTAATAAAGTAAAAACTGTGTGGTTGATGTTTGTGCAAAGGAGAGAGAATTAACTGAAACCACAAATTTTTTACTTAAAAGGGAAAGTGGCAAAGTTAGAGGGACATCCAAAAAAGGAAAGTTGGCAAAGTTTTAAGGGACGGAGGGAGTAATTATTATTTAAAAAAAGTCGGTTTGGTTCGGTATGGACCGATTTTAAATCTTAAAGAACCGTGATCGAACCGATTTCTACTCGGGTCCCGACTTTCGGGTCCCATTCAAGTCGGTTTGGTTTCGGTTCGGTTTTCGGTTTTTCGGTTAAAAATGCCAGCCCTAATTGACGTGGTGTACAAAAAGTGTGGACATACTGAGCTTCAAGGCTATACTGATGTTGGTTGGGCCGAGTTGGGATACTTCGCAACTTTCTTGGATCATATGATATGTATGCTCCAGTTTGAGGGGGAGTGTTATAATGTTATCAATAAGTTGTAAATATTTAACATTACAAGGGCAATTAGGGTAACTGTGTAAACCCTAGTACCCTAGTATATATTCTCTTATATGTACCATTCAGACATGTAGAACAGTTTTCTCTCTACAGTTTGTCTTCTATTCTAAACGTCTTCATCACATATTCATGTAACTTACTATTCAACAAAGTTGTTAAGTGTAAAAACAGAACAACAAATAATATAATTTTTAAAAACAAAATGAAAGGTGTTATATTTGTAAAATAAGAAGGTTATTAGTATAATTAAACAGAGAAAGCTCAGATCTTTTTCGAAATCCTTTGTCTTCTGATTGTGAAGATCCATTAAGAAATAAACCTCTCATTGGATAGCATTAACAAAAATAGACAGTGACTCAAATCAGTGAAGAAAACATGAGATTACTATTAACAGAGAGTAATGACATATCATAAAGAGCATCACAAAGTACTAACCAGAAGCTTGGATGGCAGCTCCGGATTTTATTATTGGTTCACCTACTGGATAGTACTCCTTAGTGGATTCCACAGACTGCTTTGCAGAGGATATCAACGCTTGTTTGTCACTTGCACAAAAGTATTTATTGTAAGTAATTACTTTTGACTCATCTTCAACAAAAGCAGGATCAACACCAATGAAGCCATGAAAGAACTTGAAAAGAAAACCAGCAATTAAGCTTGATCGGAACTCGGGGTAAGTTGTTCCCCTTTCAGGAACCACAGTTACCTTTACTAGTTTAATTGCTTCATACAAAACATTGACATTTATTATTTTCCCCGTTAGATAATCCTCAACCTTTCTTGCCCGGACTGCATGTTTTGTCCCAAACGCTCCATAAGCCAAGTGAATAAAGTTTACCAAATACCCATTTTCGGTCAGATTAACGTCAGCCAAGAAGGCAGCATTTGCATACGCCAATGCATTTCCAAGGGGTCGGGGTGAGGCCCGGTATGATTCAAAAAGCAATGTGTGGCCACCAGTTTTCATTGGTGTCCAAAACGGGACCCACACGCTTAGCAGCACGGTCCTTGCCGAGTCAAACTCTGGTCGATTAAAGAACTCCTCCAGTGTGAGCTTCTCACGTTTGGCTCCCGTCATTATAGTAACACTTGACCCCAGTGCAAGAAGCAAAGTAGATATATCAGACGGGAACCATTTCTTATGTGCCATAACCAAATTACCCCCAATGCTAGCCGTGTTTCTAATGAAGCCTGAGTTAAAGTACAGAAGGTAGTAAATTATATAAATTAAAGTAATCCTAGTTTTAGTACTAGAACTTTCTGTTCCCATTAGGTCTAAGGCTTTGTTTCCCTATTCCTATTGGGTATAGACCAGATAGTCTTATGAAATTATGAGTTATTATTAAAAAGGCATATCAATAAAAGTAGTAGCTCACTATTATTCAACCTGAAGCAATTTTCTCCATATGGTCAGCAATTTTTTTAAAGATGATCTCGCCTGATGAGTGTGAATCATCTTTAGGTGCATCCCTAAAGATCAATATCAGTTTAGATATGGTAACCGCGGATCCAACTTCAATTCCCATGTTGTCCCTCTTAAACCCCGAGAGATCCGGGATATGCCTAAGGTCAATGTATAAGTCATATTCTTCAGGTTCTTTATAATAGCCTGTTCCAGTATTACCAACAACAAGCTTGATGCGTTCACCGTTTTCAGCTACTTTACTGCCCAACAAACCTTGTAGCTCCTCCAAACTAACAGGGGAATACCAAGGGTGTCTTTGGAAGCCCAACTGAATAGCAGACTTGAATTCAGTTTTCAAAAATTCGGGATATACACAGATATTGCTACTTGGATAATAAAATGGCAATTTTTTTATTTTCACTTCCCTAATATCTTTGTCCTCCCTTTTCCAAAAAGAATTGAAACCCAAATCTTCAATATCAATATCAGATGCAAAACTCTTGCAAGCATCAGCTATAGGACGATACCCGGTACAGCGGCAAAGATTCCCTGCAATTGCCCTTTCGGCTTCAGAGGCGGTTAGCTTGGAGAATCCCGGCAGGGGATCGGGCCGATGAAGGTGGTTGTCAGCATCGAGAAGAGCAGAGAACAGTGAAATGCACAATCCGGGAGTGCAGAAGCCGCATTGAGAAGCATGGAAACCGGCAAATCTTTGGTGAATTGGGTGGAAGCCATGCTTAGTGTTTCCAATGCCTTCACTTGTTGTAACTGAACAACCATTTATACTGCAAAGGAGGGTGAGGCATGAGCCGACTGTGTGATTTTCTACTCGTTCATTCACGTGATCATACTTTGAGAGAAGGACTACACATGCTCCACAGCCACCTGCCATGGGTTAAACTTGATCTGTTAGTGTTAATTCATTAATCCTCTTCTTCCTCATTGAACCACATACAGCGAGATTCGCTAGGTTGAATGAGTGATACATCTTCTCTTCAAGAACAAGTTTAAGTTGAAAGATGATGGATGACACATGCGACATATACGATTGTATATCTCACCAAAATGAACCATTGCCTACAGCTACGAACAATAGGAGGCAGAAATTACATCAAATTTAAGACTAAACTAATAAGCCAATTTCATGTAAATTCATGCATGCACAACAGTGCAACAGCAGAAATACAGATGACAGCTCAAAAGCAAATTGTATCAATACATATACTCCATGCTATTAAAACAAAATAAAACAGAAAAAAAGTTTATTTGTTTAAGGCTTTAAGATAAGAATAACCCAGCCCCGGCCTTATTCAATGGAAAATATATCACAATTTAGAATTTTGGAAAATATACTAGTGTGAGTGGGTGAGTCTATAGCTACCAGGTCAAGTGCGGAGAGTTAGTGGGTGAGTGCTACAGGCGTCGTTGGGATCTCGTTTCGGATCTGGGAAATAGAGAATAAGAGGAAGGAATAACAAAATACGCCTAAGCTAGAACAATCGGTATCCAACCTTGTCAACACACACAAGAATTAATTCTTCCCAAACTGTTTATTCAATAATACTCGTGACCCTAATATAGCTATTAAATCTTAAAAGAGTCCTGATTATAAAAGGCAATAATTGCAATTAAGAAGTTGCCTAAAGCGGAATGTGAATACTTATAAAAGGAGATTGCTAATTAAGAAGCTGCATACAACATACATAAGAATATTTAATAATAATAGTAATAATAATATAAGGCTTCCTAAAAAGTTCTATTGTGGTGGAAATACTTTTCTCTTCTTCAGGAGAAGATTCAGCAAATAACTTCATGTTCAGTAAACCACTCCCTTAATTGCGCTACTGCGTGATTAACTGAAACCAATTTCAAACAATAACAAATCATTTCATGAGGGGAGCGGGACAGGTGTCATAAGTCCCTCGTACAGGAATGAAAACCCTAGCGGCGAAGTACTGATCTTGGATGCACAGCCGAGATTGATCGATCGGTGACCACGGCGGAGGTATTCAGCCACGATCGTTGAGCGCTCTACGTCACCAGGTCCTGCCTTTCATTGCTTCATCTTTTTTTGCATCCAGTTTGGTTTGTTTCCGGGCATGTTTCCCATTGTTCTCGTCCTGCACATCACCGTGGCCGAGTTTTTCTTTGTTCGTTTCTGAACGGTGGTTTGAGTTTTGATTCCGTCGTCGGTTACTGTGCTTTGTGTTGTTTGTGTGCTGCGTAGTGATTTCTCGTTGGGTTGTGTTTTTCTTACAGCTTGTTTATGGTTGCTTATCTTTGAGTTTTGTCTTGTTACCGTGACATTGTTCATCATGGACATGATCATCAAGAATTATAGTATGGTATCTATAATTGAGGAAGAGAACAGGGGCTTGGTGCTTGAAGCGGACCCGGCAGAGAGTAGGAGTGCTAGTGAGGCTGGTGAGAGAGCTTGCTTTTCGGCTATGGCCAGAGTGGTTTCGGATAAACCTATTTGTGTTATTTCTTTCCATGAAACAATGGCCATGGTTTGGAGACCAGTTCGGGGAGTCTCTATTAATGAGATAGGTGAATCCAAGATTCTTCTCCAATTTTACCATGAAGGAGATATTAGAAGAGTCATTGAGGAAGGGCCTGGATCCTTTGAGCAAAACCTCATGGTGATTAGGCGATTGGGGCGTACTGATAGGCCCCTTGAAGTGTCATTAGGGTCTTTTGAAGAACGCTCTCTTAGAGGAAAACAAAGTTTGGTTTTGTGTATTAGAGTTATCATTAATATCAATGTGACTTTGACTAGGCATTTGCAAGTACAATAGGAGGGGGAGAATTGGATATGGGCGGACTTTCAATACGAGAGACTCACAAATTTCTGTGTTTCCTGTGTGGAATACTTGGCCATGCGGACCGTTTCTTCCCTTCTAATCCACACAGTGGTCCTTGGATTGGTGAAAAGCCTTATGAGTCATGGTTACGTGCTGATATGAGGCATGGTGGTGTACACCTGGGAAACATGTGGCTGATTCCTAACAACAACAGGTCAATTGACAAAAGGGATGATGGGGAGATCTTGGTTACTCGGGCAAAACTATGGTCAGTCAGGGTAGCTATGTGGTAGAAGGTCTAATCTCAAAGGGCAAGGAAGTGGCTACTACACCGAAAGAACCAAGTAAACGCAGCGTCATTGATCTAGTTAGCGAAGATAGTGTTCAAACAAGCATGGATGTTGATAGTGCGGATTCAAAAAACTTGCGGGTGGCGGTGGTGTCGGGAGAGCACCGTTAGTGATTGGGGATCTTCGTGATGAGAAAGTGGGACCTTTGGCAGAGTTGGTCAAACCATTCTTTCTTTGTCCGTGGCTGGTAAAACTGGATATTGTCTTTCTTATTTTTGTTTACCTTTTCATAACTCTTGAGTTACTTTTGACTTTCATTTTAGTAGCAGGTGCATCATTGTTGTTAGTGGAGTCTACTACCTTGCGAGATTAGCGAGTTGAGCCGCTCTTAAGCGTGATTCCAACTCTAAGTCTCATCTCAGGGTACTAAGCCTCATCTCTTAGCCTTTAATATGGTGTCTTTGTATTTGGTTCTCGTTATTGATTAGAATTAAGTTATCTATTGACAAAAAATAATAATAATAATAATAATAATATAAGGCTTCCTTGCTCATATCAGGGAGTCTTGTATCAGTAAATTTAGAAAAGGTAAATCATGGGTAAAGCCAATAAATTTATGAGTTGTTGCTTAGATTTTTGAGAGAAATTGAACTTAATTGCGATAGAAACTACACCTTCACCACAGCCAAGTTTGGGGCTCTTGAAACGGGTCTGGGATCGCAAAAAATGAAGCAAAGTAGTGGAAGAGTCGACACTTGGGAGCTCAAACCTTTCCCCATTCACGGCAAACACCAAATTTCTATTTCCTTCACTCACGCCACCTGCTGTTGTTTCACTTAACTCATCCATTAAACTCTGTTCGCCTAAAGGGAGGGTGATGGGGACCGGCCGGTGTTGGCAACCTCTTGGGTATGATGAGTATGATGCTTGCTTGCATAAATGATTCGAGGCTGGAGGATAGAAAGGTTTTGTGAACTTAGGCCGCGTTTGCGAACTCTTAAATTAAACTGAAGTGACCTTTCCTATGTTGCTAAAATCTATCCATTTCATAGTTCAAGGGGTATTTGTATCTGATTCTTAAAACTGTTTCTGCTCCTTCAGGAAACAGAAGCAGAAATTAGAGTGTTTGGGTGAAAATGCAGAAGTGATTCTGATGCTCTGATTTACTTCTAGAATCAGTTTTTTTAGAAGTTGAGGATAGAAGCTTCTGAAAACTGATTCTGATTCTGTTTCTGCTTTAAAAAAGAAGCAGAAGCAGAATCAGTTCCAAACACCCCCTAAATTAAACCTTTACCAGCTAAAATCACGTGGAAAGTGCTTTAAATTACTTTTCATTTTTTCTACTAAAGAAAAAATATTATATCAAACGTCACCAATTTTTATTTTTTCAAATCATTTTTTTCAAACACTATTCATTTTTACTATTAAACATTTTTTCCAAAATCAGTTTAAAAAATCACTTTTAAAAATTAAAAACAATCACAAGCATTCTCTTAGAATGGGTATTCAAATGGAATCTTTTTATAATTAAGAAGTATTTGGAATTGATTATTTTCTGTTTCTTTTTTAAAAGCAGAAGAAGAATTAGAATATCTTTTTCAGAAGTCGGTCTCCCTAAAGCTTCTAAAGAATTACTTCTAGGAGCATCTAGAAGTAGTTTTGCACTATCGCTCAAACACTTCAATTGCTTCTACTCTCTAAAAGAACAGAAGCATAATTCAAAAGTAGATCCAAACACCCCCTAACTTAAAATAATTATTAATTCTAGTCATTTATTAGAAATATGAAATGTGTAGATTTTTCTTTGAAAGATATGACATGTGTAGATTTAAAAAATCCATTCATTTCTCCAAAAAAAAAATATAGTTCATATTTGAGTTCTCATTTTAAGAGAGCATTGTTATCAATAGAACTCTTTATAGGGTCATATTCCCATGATAACAGTTATTCTTGTGAGAAATGAGAATGATTCGAAATGATACACTATGACAAGGCGCAACAACTCATGTTAACGCGTTCGGGACCATTGCCCTGCTTACATAGAATGGATACTGCACCATTCCAACTTATCGAACCCGACTAGTGTCCTGGTGATCGGGATACTTTGGTGCAATTCCCTTCTCACGAAGTTGGAGTTCCCCGTTACTTGGGTCTCGGTATGTTTGGTGTATCTACTAGTCGGACTCGGTCGGTTGGACTGACGTGGTTTCTGTTGAAAATATGTCCTAGGACAATCATAGTTTATGATTTATTAATGAATATTTAATGCTCATTAATCAATAAAGTCACAAACTCATTTTATGTTCATTATTATTGTGAGTTTTCTTTATTACTATTTATTCCCTAAATATTATGTTTAGTAGCTAATTAAGTATGTGACTTAATTGTGAAATGCTACACTTTCTAACACTACAAGAAAATTACCGATTTGCAACGGACAAATTCCATTGCGTTATAATGAATTTTCGTTGCAACTCTTCATTAACTGATGACTAGTATGTCCCTGGTCTAATTATATTAATTTGTGACATTAATAATTAATAGACCAGTATGTGGATTAAATGATGGCTATATTCCACTAATCATGGGTATAGAGATAACAAATTCATTGGACAGACCCAACTTGAGGACACTACTAGGTTATATGTCTCCAGTGTTTTCCTCAATAATGATGAGGTGTTGTATTCTTATACTTGAAATAATCGTGGTTACTTACATGGGAATTAATATGTATTAACACCATTAAATGTTATCCTTAAATGTGTAATTATAAATGTGGTGATTGTACATATTATGAACCATATAGTGGTATGTCAATTATCAAGATAGTTTTTGTCACTCTCGTATAGCGAGAGAAAGATATCTATTGGACCCCTTGACAAGTAAGATTAATTAGCATGGTCATGCTCAAATGAAGTGTCATTTGTTCAAGATTAATCTTACTTGGTAATCAAAAAATATTAATTGAGAATAATAACAAGGATGACACGACCTAGCTTTGTCTCAATTAAGATATCGTTTGACAAAAGAGAATTATTAGCACAAATTAATCATTAAAAGGTTATGTCAGATTTAATTGACATTTATATAACTTGGATAGTCATAATGTCTTGCTAGAGACCACTTATGACTTATGAGGCTCGAATTAATTTTTTAACCCACTGCCAACGATATATAAACATACAGGGTCACACATCTAAGTGATATGAATCATTAATGTTTGTTAATAACATAAAAATAGCTTGATTAGCCCAATTCGAGATAGGTTTTCGAATGGTATTAAGCTAGGGCCTCCGGGTTAGTTTTATTAGATATAAAACTCCTTCTTTCTTCCTCTTATTGTAAGGAATAATTGTAATTAGATTTTGATGATGCTAGATTAATTAGGACTTTAGAGTACCCCTTTTGAAATTATGTATTAGAATTTTCCTTTGTAAAATTCTTAGAAGTATTCGACTTGACAGAAGACCTTCAAGAGCAGAAGGACTTCAAGAGCAGAAGTGCCTCTTAAAGCATTATTGAAACAGAGGACCTTTGGTTCTCTGCTCCAGAACAGAAGTCCTCAGGATCTCTGTTAGTCTTGACTCTGACAGAAATCCTTCTGATTCTCTGTTGGATTCTCCCAACAGAAGTGCTCCAGACCTCCTCTGTTCTACTCTCAGACAAAGACACCAGAAGGACTGACACTTAGAAGATTTTCAAAGAACCGGGAAGTCAACTAAAAGATTCCTTCAACGGTTAGGAGTATGAAACGGAAAAGCTACAGTGCATGCATTAAATGCTCATTTAATGCACCCCATGCTACGTAGAGTAATTGCAGATGATTGGCCGCAATGTCAGGAATACTTTATCCCAAAATAGTAACCCGCCAACTTTATCGGGCTCTACCAGTCAAGTCAACTGATCGCGCATTAAATGCAGTTGTCCTCCTACTCCTCCAACGGGAAGACAACCTCAGTATAAAAGATACACTACGAAGAACAACCAAAGAGACTTGGAGATAACCTTGCTATAACTTTGCTACAACTTTGCTAACCAAGCAAGATATTCAAACTCTGAAAAGCAAAAAGCCTCCTTGAGATTCAAACTTATTATCCTCTACAAGAGAAGGCAGAAGTTGGAAAAATACTCTTTCCAATTCAAGCAAAGTTCCAAGTGTTCTTCAACTCTTCAAGCTCATCACATACAAATCTTTTGTAACGAAGCTAGTTGGAGGAACCCCAGTTTCAACAGAAACTCTTCTTGCTACAAGAAGGACGTCCAAATAACTAGAGTAGTGAAGTGGTGATACTTCAAGGAAACTCAGTGAAAGGACCAGTGTTAAAGGAAGCAGGCAGTGCATCTCAGGACACATCTAGGCTTGAAGAAGACGTGGAGTGCTTCTTAAGTACTAGGACTAAGGCTTTGTAAACGGCAGTTTTTACAGCTTAGTGGAACAGTGGATTAGAGGAACGAGTTGTTCCTTGAACCACTATAAAAATCCCTGGTGTCGTTTACTTACTGCTTTTAATACTTGCACTTAGTTAGAACTGTATAACTCCTTGGACTTGGTATCTGTGTTCAGCAGAACTTGTTCTACGAGTTAACAGAAGGCCTTCTGCCTATTGTTTCTCTGAGGCTAACAGAACTCCCTACCAGAACCCCATCCGCTGCCAGTCTGTTCTTACAACAGAACAGGCTATTCTGTAAATCTGGTACTTAGTTTAAAAAGCTAAAAACCAATACAGTCTATTCACCCCCCCCTCTAGACTGTATCCAGTATAACCAGGACCAACAAGTGGTATCAGAGCCTCCTTGTTCTAATAATCTCTTAGGTTATTTGTTGAACAAAGATCCACTTGTTTTTCTGTTTTACCTCATTTCTATCTGATATAATGGATCACTCCTTGTCCAAGAATCTTATGTTTTCAGATCTTAAGTTTGATGACTGGAGGATCCGGATGAAAGCACATCTCTGTGCCCTGCATGATGAGATGTGGGAAGTTCTAGATATTGGCCCCTTCACAAGTTTCCAGAAGGTCAATCCTGAACATGCCATAGACAACACCAGCCCCCAGATGATCAGCAAAGCCAAGTCAGAATGGACCACTGAAGAGAGGAGAAAGTTCAACCTAGACAATATTGCCAAGGACATCCTCTACAAGTCCATTGATGATAGGTACTTCAACAGAATCAAGAAGTGCAAGACTGCTAAGGAAATCTGGGATACTCTTGAGCTCATTGGAGCTGGTGATGAGCAAGAGAAGGACAACAAACTAACCATAGCCAACAAGAAGTTTGATGACTTCAAACTTCTCCCTGGTGAAAGCATCTCCAAGATGTATGACAGGCTCCTCACTCTCACTGGAGAGATCTCTGAGCTTGGCAAGGATCTCACAACCAAGGAGATCAACCTGAAGGTGTTGAGGGGACTGCCCTCAGCATGGAAGATGAAGGTAGTTGCTGTCCAAGCCAGCAAGGATGTAAAGACTTATCCCACTGATAAGCTCATTTCAGATCTCAAAGCTCATGAGTTTGAAATGATTGAAGAGAAGGAAGATGTACCAGAAGAGAGGACCACTACAGCCCTCACTGCCAGCACATCTAAGGTAAATGATTTTGACCCTTCAGTACTTTTATCTGATGAATATATGGCTGCCTTTGCTAGGAGATTCAAAAAGTTTATGAAGAATCCCAAAGATGGAAGGAGTCCATCTTTCAACAGAAAGCCATACCAGAAGGTCAAATCAACAGAAAGCAGTGGAGAGCTTCTCCGTTACAACTGCAGACAACCTGGTCACTTCAAGGCTGATTGTCCCCATCCTAGAGTGTTCAAGAAGCAAGGACAGGATGGAGAAAAGAAGAAGTACGAGGACAACTCCAGAAGAAGAAAGGCACTTGTGACAGAACAGCTGGAGAAAGACCCTCTGTCAGAAATAGAATCCAGTTCTGACTCAGATTCTGATGAGGCCTTCTGTTGCCTGGATACTGAGACAGA